ATGATTTGATTGGCTGACGCTTCCACCGAAAGCTTCAGAAGCTTCAAAAGTTGAACATTGCTCAACTGTTGCAGCCTGAAACGCCAGGAAAGCTCCGCTCTGCTTCCCACAATGCAGTTCGGCGAAAAGTGACGTCACCCCATTCAAAGTGAATGGGCAGAAGCGCCGCTGTGTGACACACTCTGGTTTGAGTCCAGCATGAACTTTTTTGTTATTTTCATGTCGATGCACACTGAATATTATGTTTGAATAGAGGATTCCTAATATTGTTTGCCGAGACCAACATTAATGACCCATCAGCATTTTAAAGCCTACCTGCACGCAGCAATGACATTTCTGCTGCTATCTTTGCAAAACGAGTTAACAGCAGGGCCGGCCCTGACCAATTTGCCGCCCTAGGCAAGATTTTAGCTGGCGCCCCCCCCCCCCCCCCCCCAAAATGCAGACACTCACTATGATTCGCGCGTGCACGGTTGTGGCATGACCACCAACACAGAAAGATATTGACACAAGATGTGTGCAACTGTAATTAGTTTCCTATCCATTTGAACATGATTTAAGTGGGGGGGGGGGACCTCACCTCCTCTAGGGGGGTCCGGGGGCATGCACCCCTGGGAAGACTTTTTTTTTTTAATATTGAAGTTGAAAGCATCAATCTGGTGCACTTTGAGAGCATCATTAGGAGATCTATGGAAACATCTCTCAACACCCAGATGAAACAGAACTGGAAGCAGATTTTCTTTTTCTTTATGGATATTTTACAAATCACTCTCCTTTCAAACTGTATTCTTGTTTATTAATAACAATTTTTTGTACTGTCAGTATTTTATACCTGTTTATCACCTATTCTCTTATTTTTTCCAACTATAATGATCATATAAAGGTGTGCCTTTACCTCACTGAGCTGAGGTTATCAGAGCCTCTCAGTCTTTCAGGAGAGAGCTCTCTAAAGCTCTCCCCCCCGCGGCCGCTTACACAGTAAATGTCAATGTTAATAAAAGCACACAGAAGCTGTGTACATTTTTTGGGAGTTTGATTTATTTTAAATTAATACAAATACAAAATTAAAACCTATAATTGCCCACTAAAACCATTATTTCAAAAAAAGAACAATTTCACATAAACCTCTGGTTTTTACTTGATTTGGGGGGGGGGGGGTGCCATAGTTTATGGGCGCTGTACGCAATATATGCGTAGTTCTGTTATTATAAGATAATAAGATGTACTTTGTTGATCCAAAATCGGGAAATTGTGTTGTTATGAAATTTTTTAAAATATTTTTTCTTTTTTCTAACTTTTTTTTTTTTTTTTTTTCCGGCGCCCCCTATGGGTTGATGCGCCCTTAGCATTCGCCTATACTGCCTATGCCGAGGGCCGGCCCTGGTTAACAGTCAAATCTTATCTGGATGAGTGCTGCAGAATACTGTTTATATAAAGGGATAAATGTGTGTGCAGTCTTTCATATTAAACATGATCGCTGGTAGATAGCCACAGAAGTCGTAACACAGTTTAAACTGGGCGGGTCCCATTTTTCCCTGGGCGGATGTTTACCTGAGACAGTTCACAGCTGAAGACTTCTCCACGCTGCTTTCAAACTGTGAGTAAACACCGTGTGCTTCACTTGGAGGCTGTCTGAAGGTGTACACAGGTCTCAGATGGACTTGGTATCACATTAAGAACGATATTCAGTAATAAGTCTGGCAACAATAGCTGGTTTAAATGATTTATTGGAGCTTGCAATATTTTGAACAGACATCCCCAGTCAACTCGTTTTTCTTTTTGTAGTCCTTGCTGTTCGCGTCCGGATATCTGCATCGTAAGCACAACCTCACACACTGGTACTGAATGTGCTTCAAAGTCTTCCTACCGAGCCAAATATACCAAAAGATGTATGTAAACGACAGAAGAAGCGATCGAAAATCACCCCAGTTGATCGGGAAACCAGTTAACGAGGCAACCAGTTAATCCAGTGTTGACTGGAAGTGATCTCAGGTGTGGGTCCTCTTTCTGTTTCTGTTTCTAGCAGTATATTTGCCCTCATTTGGTTGTACACCAAACCCTACTATAATTATTACCAATTCCATTCTGGTGTGTGTTGCCTTCCTCATCCCTAACAGGCCCCACAGACTCTAGAGTCGCCACTGATCTGAACCCAGCACACATCTAAAAACCATTATGATTCATCGTCATGTTGTCTTAAAAAAACACTTTGGACCAAATGAGTCGGTGTCTGAGTGGGATTTGTGACATGGTTATTAGTCATTGGACAATTATAGGTTTGGGGGTTTACCAAAGAAAGGAAACAGGAACATTTACTTCAAACTTAAAAATCTGTGCAGAAGAATTTGTAAAAATAACACCTAGAAACCTTTAAACTTAATTTTAAACGATTAAATAATAGATATTTTAAACTCATTTATCCTCCTTTTTGATCAGTGTTAAGTGTACATTCATATTCAAATGTTTTATTGTTCTTTTATGAATCACTGTTATGTTTTTAGTAATTAAGTTATTACATTTGAACAATTTTTATCTATTACATTTCATTTCATGTCATTTGTTAGACGCTTTTATCCAAAGCGACTTACACAATGATTCTATGTTTTTGCATGTATTAAAGTTGTTTAATTTAATTTGTATTTTATTGAAGATTTAATCACGTTTTTATTAATTTGCCTGCATTTTGTCTTAAATTGTTAATTTCACTTATTTTTCGTGTTGTTTTTGCCAATACAGTTCTTATTATCTGCTTAATAGCCAATTATGAAGCACTAACCTGTAAAGGGAGCTAAACACACGTATGTATTTCTTTAACAGCGTCACCACCACAGCTCCATATAAACCACAACATTAATCAAAACTCTGCCTGCCATATTTAATACATATGAATTGCATGTCAGCCTTACCCGGTCAGGTGTTTGCAGCAGATTATCTCCCTTTCTGACGGTGTGTCTTTCCCTGGACATGATGATGAGGATATTTAACAACCTGCCTGATGTGTGTGTGTGTGTGTGTGTGTGTGAGATATATCCTTGTGATATAAGGAAGCAGTGTGTGCTATCACACAGCGACAGGAAGTCATCACTTCCTGTAGAAGGTGGTAACATCAGTAACTGTGACTTATGTCTATTTCTTCATCTGATGCATAAAGTGTCTTAATGCACAATAAAAGACATTTAATCTCATTCCTGGCTCCGTGGTTTTAATCACAATTAATGCTGTTATTAGTGTTTGCAGTCATACAATGGACCCCCCTCCCACCTGATGAAGGAGGTAATGACACAGCAGTCCTTCTGTGGTCTGTGAGCATTGTGTGTAAACAGAATCATTAAAAAGGGTATTTACTCTATTATAGGTCTGCAAACAGTCCAGGTGAATATGGTCAACATTTAAACAGATATCATCCTGAAACTTCACAAGATGAATACTGACATTAAAACAATTATCTTTTGTAGTACAAGCTTTCTGAAATGCTATGTTTACATATGCAAATGAGGCATTATGTTATTAAACAGGGGCTAATGTGCCCACATTTCTCGCACAGAAATGTGACTATTGCACAAAGCCATGTTTAAAATTCTTGTTTAATGTTGTTGACTTATGAAAGTCATGGTATTCTGAGAGGGGATTTTGAATGTCTCCTTGTGTCAACACATAAATCAGAAAAACTATCATAAAAACTGCATTTCTCTGTGTTACATAGTGATGTCATTACATCACATGTTACTTGTTAGACGCTTTTATCCAAAGCCACTTACATACTCAATACTGTGGACAATCCCCACAGGAGCACTTTGGGGTGAAGGGACACAACGACTGCAGTGGGGTTTGAACCTGTGCTCCCCTGATCCGAACACCAACGCACTAGTCCACACGCCTCCCACATGATGTCCTGGAAGTAAACAAAGGAGTCCAATGCAGGCGTTTCAGTTACATAGTATAAGGGGAGAGTTACTACCTTTATCCCAGCTAAACTGTATAATTACACACGACATGTTGTACATTTCTAAATGCGATTTGCACAAAGGAAGGTCAGCTGTATCTCCACTGTTTGCCCACAACCTGGTTTTGCTTCTCGTTGCAGCTTTCACAACCAGGAGGTGCTTTTGCAACCCAACCGCTGTCTGATTCTGAGAAGAGAGGCTGCTTACTGTAAATGGCTAACGCTGGATACTCACTGTGAAGTGTGGAAAATGACATAAGTATAAATTAATGCATGAAGAAAATTCACCAATAAATAAGGGTATAAATACATGTTGGTAAACAAAAAGAAAAATACATCCATACAATATTTATTTATGACTTGTTTTATTATCACGTTTTTTAAATTGATTTAAGCGTCTAATTATTTATTTATCATTTTTATTTATTTCTGGCTTTATTTATAAAAGTACAAACGCATAACACAGATGTAGAAACATATCAAATAAATGTGTTTGTATACATTTCAACTTTTCCCCCCCTATTTATTAAAGCAAATATGTATTTATTATTCATGATTTATTATTTATTTATCTATTTATTTACTTATTTATCCATTTATTCATGTATATATTTATTTATGCATTTTGTTTTTATGATTCTTTAGTCATTTTCTGCCCTATTCTGTTTGCTGTCAACATTAATTTGACCCTAATTCAGGCTTCTAATTGAATTGAAATGTCATATTATAACCGTACTCATAATTTACTTTTAAAAAATACATATATTTAATGTATGCATGATCCCTGTGTGATTTAAAGTGAATTCAAGTATAGAAAATACTCATTATATGGCTATATGGCTTCTGTTTGACCTAATAAATAGTTAAAAGTCTACTATATTAAATAGTCATTAACATGTTAAATATTCTCACGTGTTACCTTGTCATTAACAGTTTAATTTAAATAAAATGTAACAAATAATAATGTATTTTCTATGTGATTTAATTAAAAAAAACACGTATCATCTTTAACGACGTATGACTGTGCGTCTGACGTCACGTAGTTGGCGTTTCTTACGTGTACCGGAAGAGCAGGTGCAACACCGAAAATCATCCGAGCATCTCTTTGACAACAAGAACCCCGACATCAGAAACCGACCCAGGATCCGCAGAGAGGCCCGTAGAAGACCTGGAAGAGGATCACCTTTATCTGCTGTATCTCCTCTGAGAGTCCGGACCATCATGACTCTGAACCAGAACCACTCCGAGTCCGGAGGAGGAGTCATCATCAACAACAGCGAGAGGTTAGCACACAGTTAGCATCAGCAGCTAACTAGTAAACAACCGTTAACAACCGTAAGAATGTCCGCAGATAAACTAACATGACAGTTCAGGTGCTGTCGTTGATTCATCCTGTCTATAATACATTTAAATATCTTCTAAGCATCTGTTGGCTTATTTGATCTGATTTAATTATTGATGTATTAATCTCATACTTTCCTTTCTTTAATCTAAGTTATAATTGTATTGTAATTGTAATATATTTTATTAATTTATTTGTTACTACTTATCTAAATGTATTTAATTATTTTAATTTAATGTTATTTATTTTAAATTGTATTATATTTATACTTTTTAATCACTTATCCAATTGGATTTAAGTTGTAAAAGACCACCTTATTTTATTATTTTACTTAAGTAAAGAATCTGAATAATTTATCCACCACTGCAGTCAACAGTCACCTGAACACATACATGTTAACATTATATTAAAGGTCCCCTGTTATTCTGTTTTTCATCAATATATCACAGCTCTCAGATAACCTGTCTCTGATTGGCTGAAACACCAAACATCGCTATGACATCACAAAGTGGCCAAAATATGATCAGCTAATTTTCAGACAGGTTTTTATTAGGGATGCACGATAATTATCGGCCCGATAATTATCGGTCCGATATTAGGAATTATAACGTCATCCCGATAAACCCGATACCAGTATTAATAGCCCCGATAATATACAATATATTTTTTGGGTAAAAAAAAAAGAAACAAATACTGCGGTGTGGGTGGATTGGGATGAGGGGCGCTTGTTTTTCACTCGGCTCCTCCCGTTTTGCCAGTACTGTGGTATTAGTGGTTTAGGAAGAGGGGAGTTCTTCACAAATCCAGCGCTCCCTAACTCATGCCTGGCTGTGACGTAAATGGTGTGCGGCCGTGAAGCCAGGACAGTAAACAAACATGTCGTCGGTGGTATAGGCGTTGGAGCTATGTGCAACTCAAGGCATATGCTCGAACCGGAGCTGCCTGGACGCTGCAATCATGTTGCGCACTATCCGTGCTGAGTGTGCTGACTTTTCGTACAATGTCCCACTGTCTGGCTTCCTGCATAAAGTCAAGTGCTCGGCGCAGTTGTGGCGAAATGTCGCTCCTCTGTTTTCATTTAAACAGCTCCATATAGTGTTGTCACGATACCAACATTTTGGTTTCGATACCGATACCAAGTGAAGAATTGCGATTCCGATTCTTTTTCGATACTTTTCTAAAAAAAAGGGAAACAGTCTTAAATGTAATTATTGTGCTTTATTTCACACCAGAACTATAACCATAACACACACTTTTAAACAATGAGAACAATAAACAAAATAAATGACAATAATTCGTATTAAATCAAATTTAAAGGAATGCTCCACTCATTAGATAATTAATCAAAACTTCAGTATTTAGTGAAACATTATGTTTAAACCATACCCTGAAGAAATCAGCGATATTCCCCGGTAAATAATGATTTTATAGCTCTTTTTGATCAAAACCTGTATATTCCGTCAGGCCGCTGCCATTTTGCCCATTTTCAGTAGTCACGTGATGGTCGTGACGTCATCCATGCGTTCACTTTGTAAACACACGAAAACATGGCGGAGTATTTGAGTTCGGACTCGTCAGCCGAGGAAGAAGTTTTGAGCAATATGAAGAGATTGGAAGGGGGAATTCAGCCATACAGGTTCGAGCCTACTTAGTACTACTTAGTAGATACAAGGATTTTGATTACTAGATATGTATGCATGTAGTACCACCCTTGCTAGCGATTCCCTCTCTAGTTTAGCATACTCAGCCTCGTTGTCCCTGGCCCTGGAACCACGATTTTATGGGGCCGGAAAAACTGGGGGGAAATACCCACTAGCCGGTACTACGCTATATGGAAAGGTCACCAAAAACTGGCCTGGCCTGGATGGATGCTAAAGGACGTTTAAACGGGGCTACCCGCTGCAATGGAAATGCGCTATAACATACCTTATTCTTACTCCGAGCACTACTTCTGGTCCTCCGTCGCTTCACACTTGCAGAGGGCGATTTCTCAACTGGCCGAACTGGTGTCCTGGTCGGTGATGACACCAGAAAGACCGATGGTACTGCATCTCCATTAAGTAATGGTTGTTCAATAAATCCCATGTTATGTTTTATCATACTCTCAGAGTAGTCGTCCGGAAACTTGAAATGTTCGCTGCATACATGCGCCTGTGGATCTTTCGGTTCGGGCCGGCCACATTTCGCTAGCCACTGCCTCCGAACGTACTTCCTACGCTTCCCTTTGGCAACAGATGGAACCGAGCATTCCGTGGATTGTTCCTATCAGAATTGTGGCAATGTTTCGCGATACAATGAGGCATATTTGAAGAGAGTAACTACAGTAAATAACATGAACATCAACGTGTCCTCGAAACCAAACGCATGGTTTACGTCACGTCCGGTAAAATGGCGCCGCCCACAGTGTTGATGTTATTTCGGTAATTAATCAGTTTAAAATCACTGATAATGTCATCGGATAAAAACAAAAAAAAGAGAGACTGGCAGAGACTGGTCTGTTTTATCGGATGATAATTATTTAAAAATGAGTGTCATGAGCATACCATTCCTTTAAACAACATCTCAAACAACTTTTTTGTTTTATAAAATATAATTTTTAAAATATTTTATTAACATGTAATATGTAGTAATATAAATAATTATTGACAAAATGTATATTGCAGATGTTAGCCACATTGGTAAGTTAGCTAAAAAGATAGCCATATTAGACAGTTATCATTGCCATGAATTGCCTCGACAAACTACGAAAACGTTCGTTTGTCACAAAATAAATTACACTTATTTGACTTAGATTTGAGGGCATGGGCTGAGCATGATATAATTATGTTATCTATCACATTCGCTAACCTGTCTATCTTTACATTCTTTAAACAGCTCTGGATGCCAGTCGGCGGGTGCTTAGCCAAGTCTGATGTGTTGGCTCCCTTGGTTTGCAGGGATCTAAAACATGTCTCACAGACAGGCCTCGTGGTGTCCGTAGGCTTGCCCTCACTGTCAGAGATATCGCTCAAATACTTCAAAATTTCGCTTCTGGCGTCTTTTTTGTCAACAAGCCGAGGCGCAGCGGCAGCTGCACTCCCACTTGCAGCCATGCTTCTCGTTTTCTCACATGCTCTGGCAGCTAGCGCGTGGCCGCGTGCACGATCAATCAATCAATCAATGTTTATTTATATAGCCCAATATCACAAATGTCACATCTGTCTCAGTGGACTTCACAGTTTGTACAAAATATCAGTATGACAATACGACACCCTCTGTCCTTAGACCCTCACATCGTACAAGGAAAAACTTCCGGAGAAAACCCACAGTTTAAAGGGAACATGGGAGAAACCTCAGGGAGAGCAACAGAGGAGGGATCCCTCTCCCAGGACGGACAGACGTGCAATAGATGCCGTGTGTAAATTGAAAAGATAATACATTTGCAACATAGGTAGTCACGAGAGAGGGGAGGGACTTAGAGCCTGCTTGAGAGGGAGGGACTGCAGGCACGGCTGCAGAGCAGGGAGTGGAAGCAGAGCGCTGAACACACACGGCTCTTATTAAAACGGCGCTTTCTCACCGGAGTACTTTTCTCCGTCATTCTTAAAGTACCGATACTAATGAAACGGAGGAATCGTACCGTTTTAACGGCAGGGTATCGCGGTACCTTTCAAGTATCGGTACACCGTGCAACACTAGCTCCTTATATCCGTTAGCGCAGCTAGCTAGCACCAGATGCTAACAACAACAATGCACGTAAGGTCTCTCTCTCGCTCGCTCGGGCCACACATACACACACCCTCCCGGTCCTCCAGATAGCCAGTCGGTGCCTGCCGGTGAGCGTGGAAGTGTGGTCTGCCACAAGCGGGCGGCAGGAGCGGGGCTGTCAGCATCAGCTTGTAGATGGTATTTTAAACTCGATGCGCTCTGAAACTACGGGGCGGCCGAGGACAAAAAATACACATGCGTTAATCGCGTTAAAATAATTAGTGGCGTACATTTTTGTTATCGGTATCGGTCTTGAGAAGCAGGAAGTTATCGGTATCGGTTTAAAAAAAAAACAATATCGTGCATCCCTAGTTTTTATATAAATGGATCAAAAAGAGAGAGAATCTTTGTTCCTGAAACTTTCAGAGTCTCTTTCCACAGAGGGGACACATGTTGATGTAGAAGAGACATGAAGAAGAGGGGACACATGTTGATGTAGAAGAGACATGAAGAAGAGGGGACACGTGTTGATGTAGAAGAGACGTGAAGAAGAGGGGACACATGTTGATGAAGAAGAGACATGAAGAAGAGGGGACACATGTTGATGTAGAAGAGACATGAAGAAGAGGGGACACATGTTGATGTAGAAGAGACATGAAGAAGAGGGGACACATGTTGATGTAGAAGAGACGTGAAGAAGAGGGGACACATGTTGATGTAGAAGAGACATGAAGAGGAGGGGACACATGTTGATGAAGAAGAGACATGAAGAAGAGGGGACACATGTTGATGTAGAAGAGACATGAAGAAGAGGGGACACATGTTGATGTAGAAGAGACATGAAGAAGAGGGGACACATGTTGATGTAGAAGAGACGTGAAGAAGAGGGGACACATGTTGATGTAGAAGAGACATGAAGAAGAGGGGACACGTGTTGATGTAGAAGAGACATGAAGAAGAGGGGACACATGTTGATGTAGAAGAAACGTGAAGAAGAGGGGACACATGTTGATGTAGAAGAGACGTGAAGAAGAGGGGACACATGTTGATGTAGAAGAGACATGAAGAAGAGGGGACACGTGTTGATGTAGAAGAGACATGAAGAAGAGGGGACACATGTTGATGTAGAAGAGACATGAAGAAGAGGGGACACATGTTGATGTAGAAGAGAAATGAAGAAGAGGGGACACATGTTGATGTAGAAGAGAAATGAAGAAGAGGGGACACATGTTGATGTAGAAGAGACATGAAGAAGAGGGGACACATGTTGATGTAGAAGAGAAATGAAGAAGAGGGGACACATGTTGATGTAGAAGAGACATGAAGAAGAGGGGACACATGTTGATGAAGAAGAGACATGAAGAAGAGGGGACACATGTTGATGTAGAAGAGACATGGAGAAGAGGGGACACATGTTGATGAAGAAGAGACATGAAGAAGAGGGGACACATGTTGATGTAGAAGAGACATGAAGAAGAGGGGACACATGGTGATGTAGAAGAGACATGAAGAAGAGGGGACACATGTTGATGTAGAAGAGACATGAAGAAGAGGGGACACATGTTGATGTAGAAGAGACATGGAGAAGAGGGGACACATGTTGATGTAGAAGAGACATGAAGAAGAGGGGACACATGTTGATGTAGAAGAGACATGAAGAAGAGGGGACACATGTTGATGTAGAAGAGACGTGAAGAAGAGGGGACACATGTTGATGTAGAAGAGACATGAAGAAGAGGGGACACATGTTGATGTAGAAGAGACATGAAGAAGAGGGGACACATGTTGATGTAGAAGAGACATGGAGAAGAGGGGACACATGTTGATGAAGAAGAGACATGAAGAAGAGGGGACACATGTTGATGTAGAAGAGACATGAAGAAGAGGGGACACATGTTGATGTAGAAGAGACATGAAGAAGAGGGGACACATGTTGATGTAGAAGAGACATGAAGAAGAGGGGACACATGTTGATGTAGAAGAGACATGAAGAAGAGGGGACACATGTTGATGTAGAAGAGACGTGAAGAAGAGGGGACACATGTTGATGTAGAAGAGACATGAAGAAGAGGGGACACATGTTGATGTAGAAGAGACATGAAGAAGAGGGGACACATGTTGATGTAGAAGAGACATGAAGAAGAGGGGACACACGTTGATGTAGAAGAGACATGAAGAAGAGGGGACACATGTTGATGTAGAGGAGACATGAAGAAGAGGATTTTGCAGAATAGGTGACCTTTAAAGGTTATTTAGTATTATTCTAACTGTAGTCTCTCATGTATGACAGTGCCCTTCTCCCTGTGTTTATCCTCCATGTTTTCCTATCAATCCAGTCTGCACTTCCTTCAGGGTAATTTATTCTAGAACTCTCTGGATCTTCCTGACAAACCTTCACAGCTAAACTCAGCTAATCCTTTTTCTGCATTATTTACTGAAAGAGAGCGGCTATGTTTAGAGACGGGACAGTTGAAACCAGTCATTTATTTATTTAAAGGGGACCTATCATGCAAAATGCCCTTTTTGATGTCTTTTATACATAAATATGTCCCCGGTGTGTCGGGGAACTCACGCAGCATCAGAAAATAAAACCCTTTCTCTTTTCCTCCGTACCAAGCCCCCAGGAAGTGCGCCGGACTCTGATGAAAATATTCGTTGTGGCCAAACGGCGGTACTACACTTTCCGTATCAGTCCGTGACGTCACTGGGCCCAGAAAGACTTTTCCCCATTGACTAACATTGGGAAAGAGACGTCTGTAAATCAGCGGATACTTTTTTTTATGCTAAATAAACTACCCAGTATGAACGCTTGTATAGCCCTTATTAGAATCATTCGGTCCTTAAAGTTGTAAAATGCACTAAAAGCCGAATCTAGATTTATTTTCTTTCTCCATTCATTCTACTGAGCCGAGAGTGGGAGCTCGGGGGGCGGGGCTTAAGGGGCGCATGCTCTGTGAGCGCACATACCAAGCCCCCAGGAAGTGCGCCGGACTCTGAGGAAAATATTGGTTGTGGCCAAACGGCGGTACTACACTTCCGTATCAGTTGCTGGGCCCGGAAACACTTTTTCCCATTGACTAACATTGGGAAAGAGACGTCTGTAAATCGTTGGATGATTTTTTTTTAAGCTAAATAAACTACCCAGTATGAACGCTTGTATAGCCCTTATTAAAAACATTCGGTCCTCAAGTTGTAAAATGTGCTAATAACGTTATTCGGAGAGTTATTTCCCTCTGCATTATGAACGCCCGGCACGTTCATGTGACGTGTTCAGTACTACATGCGTTTTACCTTTACCCATGGATGCACAATAAGAACGGATTATATGATTATATGAATACTTTCGTGAAGTTTTGCTCTCTCAAAAGTTGGGCCATTTTGTCTTCATGCACCAATGAGCAGCTCTCATAGGAAAGAACGAGACCCCGCCTCCTACACTGTATCCAGTTCTTATTATACATCCATGCTCCGTACCCACATCTTTTAAAAACGGGGCTACAACGAGCGGATACAGATTTGCTGCCAATATGACGTCAAATCGGCGGCGGACCCACAGAGAGTTGTCATCAGAAACAATGCCTGACGTGTTTTGGACGTAATCTTGTCTTTGTTTACATTAGCAAGCGTCGCTAACACTCAGAGCTAACCTGTACTGGAGAGCACATGTGTTTTTTAAAAAGCAGGAAATAAAAAAAGGAACTCACCTTGTAATAAACCTGCAAGAGAAAAAGCATTTGAGCTCCATACTGTTTCAGAAATAATCCTTGATGTGGTTTAGAACAGACAGACAGACAGAGAGTTTATTTATCCCAAATTGGGAAATTATTTTGTCAAGCGTTACACACAAGTAAAACATATTTGAAAGATACAATAATATACAAATATAGTAAAAATAACATTAGCAGCAAGTATAAACAAATTCACGATAGAAGGACATATATCACTAGAGGTTCTAAATAATACACAATATAAAGAAATACTGAATAAATTAAATTCTCTACAATACGCAGTCTCACTTTAATCGTGACGTTGTTATCTCTCTGATCCACTGACTGTGTTTCTGTCCTCAGCGTTTTGATGAACTACGATAACGTGGAGCTGGTTTTCTGCGACGCCGAACGCCTGCCCGAAGCTTTCAGGAAGAGCAAGAAGGGAGGCATCTACCTCACTCCCTACCGGGTGAGAGACACTTCTTTATTACTCATTGTGTGGGAGTATCATTCGGGAGGGGAGAACCGATCCGATGAACCCCCCCCCGGGGTCTAGACCCTGGTGGTGGTGAATGGATAGTTGGGGTCGGTCTGAAGGGGAGGGGCTTAGCTTGACCCTGGTGGTGGTGAATGGATAGTTGGGTTCGGTCTGAAGGGGAGGGGCTTATCTTGACCCTGGTGGTGGTGAATGGGTAGTTGGGGTCGGTCTGAAGGGGAGGGGCTTAACTTGACCCTGGTGGTGGTGAATGGATAGTTGGGTTCGGTCTGAAGGGGAGGGGCTTAGCTTGACCCTGGTGGTGGTGAATGGATAGTTGGGGTCGGTCTGAAGGGGAGGGGCTTAGCTTGACCCTGGTGGTGGTGAATGGGTAGTTGGGGTCGGTCTGAAGGGGAGGGGCTTAGCTTGACCCTGGTGGTGGTGAATGGATGGTTGGGGTCGGTCTGAAGGGGAGGGGCTTAGCTTGACCCTGGTGGTGGTGAATGGATGGTTGGGTTCGGTCTGAAGGGGAGGGGCTTAACTTGACCCTGGTGGTGGTGAATGGATAGTTGGGGTCGGTCTGAAGGGGAGGGGCTTAGCTTGACCCTGGATTCAGAGGGACAGGAGGTGAAAGGGGGGGAGGAGGGTTGCGTCGAGTCACCTGAAATGACAGCTGACAGAGGGGCGAGAGCAGATTTAAAAGGTTAACGGAGCGCTATGATAGGCTTGTGAGAATAGAGCGAAGTGATTGGCTAAGCTGGGGAGTGACGGCCCCGATCACTTATTGAGAGCAGAGAGAGAGTAGTAACATGGAAATAGTAAATGAATGAGTAAAGACGGTCTTCCTGGTTGAACTTGCGCTGAGCTTCATTAGTACTCTGTATTTTCTCCTGTTATTGTGTTATGTGTGGGAAAAACAATAAATAAAGCGTTACAAATAAACAAAATGTCCACTAAATGAGGGTATATTGAGATGTTCAATGTGAGTGCTGTTGGTGTTTCAGGTGATCTTCGTGGCGAAAAGCCGTGATTTGCTGCAGTCCTTCATGATGCCCTTCTACCTCATAAAGGGCTGCGAGGTCAAGCAGCCGGTGCTCGGAGCCAACTACATCAAAGGAACCGTCAATGCTGAGCCTGGAGGTGAGATGAGGGTTAGGGCTGAATTATAGAGGAGAACAATGATATTGAAGGGTTAAAACATCAAACAAATCACACAACGAATCTCCTCTGGCTGGAAGAGAACTCTCTGCTTCTCCCATTTATATTCTATCTAATATGTAATATTCCATTCCTCACACACTTAATGTATAATATCCTGCTTTATATTTTGTTGCTGTACATTTGTAATTCAACATGTACATTTTCTACTTTTTTAATGCTATTTTATATCTATTAAGATGTTTACTGTTAGAAAAATATCCCTCGACCCCGGCTTGAGCTTCAGTCTCAGGATCCATGTATCTGTGATCCTCTCCAGAATGGAAGGAGTCATCACATACAGAGCATCTAGTTCCTGAACAGTGTCCTTCACATGCTGATTTCCAAGAGAGGGAGTTACACAGTCACAAGATGGAGGAATAGAAAGCAGTATTCAATGTTTACTTCAGATTAGCTCCATGTAAGAAATGAGCATGCTTGATGTCTCTCTCCATAGAGGCTGAATCATCATGTTAATCACATAGCTATCATCTGCCTCAAACAGTCCTGATGCTCTTCTAGGTAATCACACATCCTGTCATGTTCACAGCTACAGTTGGGATACCTTTGTTATCATGTTACTCTCAGGTTGGAAGAGGACATTCAGTATTTTCACAACATTATCTTATCTTAAAGCAGTGGTTCTCAAAAAAAAAAGTCGGGCCCCCCCCAACACAAATAGTTAGGCTCAGTGGCGGCGCCAGAGATTTATTTTGGGGTGCTGTGGGGTAGCTTGACGTTTCATAGAGGGTGCTCAAACATTTAGGGTTTCCCATTAATGTACCGGGCGCTACAGAGGAATGTTCGACTGCAACACTCCCCACGCACACACACAATGCACCCGCGACTGTTACAATGAAGGCTCGATAATCAGCTCACGGCATATAGGTGTAAGCAGGGGTAAAGTGCTATTTTTATAGGTGGTGTGTGGACCTCACATAGGGGGGTCCGGGGGCAAGCTCCCCCGGGAAGATTTTTAAATATTGAAGTTAAAAGCATCAATCTGGTGCACTTTGAAAGCAAAATGATAATCATAACACCCATATGAAACAGAACTGTAAACAGATTTACTTTTTCTTTATGGATATTTTACAAATCACCCTTTTACACTTTATTCTTGTTTTAGTGTCATATAGTATTTCATACTTGTTTTTAATGTATTCTCTTATTTTTATATAACTATAATGATCATATAAACGTGTGCCTCGGAAATAATTGTTTACATTAATGGTGACCAAAACGTTTGAGACCCACTGAGATAACACTGAGAGTCCTTTAGCTCACTGAGTCTCTCAGTCTGACAGGAGAGGACTCTCCTCCACTTTGTTGTTAGCGTAGCTCGCTAGCACCAGAAGCTAACAACAACGATCTCCGGTACCGGTGCGCTCTCTCTCTCTTGCGCACGCACACAAAATGGCTCGTTCCACACACACAGAGTCGAGCTTTAATGAAACACAGAGACCCAGACGTAACAGTACTGCATCATATTATTTTCAAATCAATAATTTTTCGAAATATGATTTTTTTAATCTTTTTTTATTTTTTTTTATAACCATTTTTCCTCCTGGTCTCTCGCGCCCCCCCTGTCATGCCTCTGCGCCCCCCTGGGGGGGCGCGCCCCCCACTTTGAGAACCACTGTCTTAAAGCATGGTCAATATCTGATGCATCCCAGAGTGTCTGCACACTACAGCTGTGTGTGTTGCTCTCAGTATCTGAGTGTGTGTGTGTGTGTGTGTGTGTGTGTGTGTGTGTGTGTGTGTTGCAGGAGGCTGGGAGGGCAGCGCCTCTTTCAAACTGGTGTTTGCAGCAGGAGGAGCCATCGAGTTCGGACAGTCCATGCTGCAGGTCGCTGCTCAGGGTACGGGAACACAACTATACAGCCTTTACCTGAAGGATGTGTTGCTGATTTGCACTAAAGAATATCCACATGTAGAGCAGGAGCACATACGTAGAAACTGTATATACGTAGAAACTGTATATACGTAGAAACTGTATATACGTAGAAACTGTATATACGTAGAAACTGTATATACGTAGAAACTGTATATACGTAGAAACTGTATATATATATTTATCCCAGCTCTCGTGTAAAGGCCTTAACACTTGGTTCCCTCGGGTCCTTTAAATACTTGAAAGTTGGTGAACTTAAGGTAAATAAAACAAGGCCTTGAAAGATTTATGAACAGACATATTCCGACGTTAAAGAGCTTGAATTTATACATTTTCTACAATAATAGAAATTGCTTGTTACTGTAAGTTCAATAAGAAAAACGTAATAAATACACATGTTCAGTAAGCACATGTCAACAATTGTTATATCGATATTCTAGTTTGGATCACCGTGCGCTGGTTAGCCTTAATGCTAATTGCTAAAAAACAACTAAATCAAATGTCGTCTGTATGTAGTTTATCATTACAATTTTCGACATGTTATACTTTGACTCTTTTCAAATGGGTTATCATCTCTCAAACTATGCCGTGTTGGGGTCTTTGAGGGAAGTGGGTCAGGAAGGACACTAAAAGGTCTTTGAGTTGAATGTGAACCTGAAGCAGTCCTGAAGTTCTGCCCCCTTCTGGTCCCTTCAGCCTCCAGAGGTCAGCCGGTCTCCTCTGGGTTCGGCTGCCCCTACACGGCCAACGGAGCGTTCTCCTACCCTCCCCCCCCCCCGAATAATGGAGTGTATCCGGCTGGACCTCCGCCCGGATACACCTACCCCAACCCCCCCCCCTCCAGGTAGGAGCTGCCTTCATCTTCATTACATTCATCATCATAAGACTATTTTGCACATTGCTGCACAATACTACACATTTTAAATTCAGTCAACAAGTCAACAAGCAAACACCAAATCAAATAAGGGAACAAATACATTGAGAATTGTGTGGGGGTTTTAATGATGCCTTTTAGAGTCTTAGGTCGCGTTCACACCTGCCTCGTATAGTCCGGTGGAATCTAACCCTGGTGCGTTTAGCCGCTTGGTTCGTTTGGGTCGGTGTGAACGCTCCTCTGAAGGGAACCAAACAACGCTCCTCTGAAGGGAACCAAACAACGCTCCTCTGAAGGGAACCAAACAACGCTCCTCTGAAGGGAACCAAACAACGCTCCTCTGAAGGGAACCAAAACAACGCTCCTCTGAAGGGAAAAACAACGCTCCTCTGAAGGGAACCAAACAACGCTCCTCTGAAGGGAACCAAACAACGCTCCTCTGAAGGGAACCAAACAACGCTCCTCTGAAGTGAACCAAACAACGCTCCTCTGAAGGGAACCAAACAACGCTCCTCTGAAGGGAACCAAACAACGCTCCTCTGAAGGGAACCAAACAACGCTCCTCTGAAGGGAACCAAACAACGCTCCTCTGAAGGGAACCAAACAACGCTCCTCTGAAGGGAACCAAACAACGCTCCTCTGAAGTGAACCAAACAACGCTCCTCTGAAGGGAACCAAACAACGCTCCTCTGAAGGGAACCAAACAACGCTCCTCTGAAGGGAACCAAACAACGCTCCTCTGAAGTGAACCAAACAACGCTCCTCTGAAGGGAACCAAACAACGCTCCTCTGAAGGGAACCAAACAACGCTCCTCTGAAGGGAACCAAACAACGCGACTCTGAAGGGAACCAAACAACGCGACTCTGAAGGGAACCAAACAACGCGACTCTGAAGGGAACCAAACAACGCGACTCTGAAGGGAACCAAACAACGCTCCTCTGAAGGGAACCAAACAACGCTCCTCTGAAGGGAACCAAACAACGCTCCTCTGAAGGGAACCAAACAACGCTCCTCTGAAGGGAACCAAACAACGCTCCTCTGAAGTGAACCAAACAACGCTCCTCTGAAGGGAACCAAACAACGCTCCTCTAAAGGGAACCAAACAACGCGACTCTGAAGGGAACCAAACAACGCTCCTCTGAAGGGAACCAAACAACGCTCCTCTGAAGGGAACCAAACAACGCTCCTCTGAAGGGAACCAAACAACGCTCCTCTGAAGGGAACCAAACAACGCTCCTCTGAAGGGAACCAAACAACGCTCCTCTGAAGTGAACCAAACAACGCTCCTCTGAAGGGAACCAAACAACGCTCCTCTGAAGTGAACCAAACAACGCTCCTCTGAAGGGAACCAAACAACGCTCCTCTGAAGTGAACCAAACAACGCTCCTCTGAAGGGAACCAAACCACCGTCCTCTAAAGGGATAAACCAAAAACAAACGCGACTCTGAAGGGAACCAAACAACGCGACTCTGAAGGGAACCAAACAACGCGACTCTGAAGGGAACCAAACAACGCGACTCTGAAGGGAACCAAACAACGCTCCTCTGAAGGGGAACCAAACAACGCTCCTCTGAAGGGAACCAAACACACGCTCTCTGAAGGGAACCAAACAACGCTCCTCTGAAGGGAACCAAACAACGCTCCTCTGAAGGGAACCAAACAACCGCTCTCCTCTGAAGTGAACCAAACAACGCTCCCTCGGAAGGGAACCAAACAACGCTCCTCTGAAGGGAACCAAACAACGCTCCTCTGAAGGGAACCAAGACAACGCTCCTCTGAAGGAACCAAACAACGCTCCTCTGAAGGGAACCAAACAAGCGCTCCTCTGAAGGGAACCAAACAACGCTCCTCTGAAGGGAACCAAACAACGCTCCTCTGAAGGGAACCAAACCAACGCTCCTCTGAAGGGAACCAAACAACGCTCCTCTGAAGGGAACCAAACAACGCTCCTCTGAAGGGAACCAAACAACGCTCCTCTGAAGGGAAAAACAACGCTCCTCTGAAGGGAACCAAACAAACGCGCCTCTGAAGGGAACCAAACAAACGCTACCTATGAAGGGAACCAAAAAACCAACGCTCCTCTGAAGGGAACCAAACAACGCTCCTCTGAAGTGAAAAACCAAACAACGCTCCTCTGAAGGGAACCAAACAACGCTCCTCTGAAGGGAAAACCAAAAAACAACGCTCCTCTGAAGGAAACCAAAAACGCTCCTCTGAAGGGAACCAAACAACAGTCCTCTGGAAGGGAACCAAAACCAACGCTCCTCTGAAGGGAACCCAAACAACGCTCCTCTGAAGTGAACCACAACAAAACAAACGCTCCTCTGGAAGGGAACCAAAACAACGCTCCTCTGAAGGGAACCAAACAACGCTCCTCTGAAGGGCACAAACAACGCTCCTCTGGAAGTGAACCAAACAACGCTCCTCTGAAGGGAAACCAAACAACGTCTCCTCTGAAGGAACCAAACAACGCGACTCTGAAGGGAACCAAACAACGCGACTCTGAAGGGAACCAAACAACGCGACTCTGAAGGGAACCAAACAACGCTACTCTGAAGGGAACCAAACAACGCTCCTTGAAGGGAACAAACACGCTCCTCTGAAGGGAACCAACAACGTCCTCTGAAGGGAACCAACAAACGCTCCTCTGAAGGGAACCAAACAACGCTCCTCTGAAGTGAACCAAACAACGCTCCTCTGAAGGGAACCAAACAACGCTCCTCTAAGGGAACCAAACAACGCGCCTCTGAAGGGAACCAAACAACGCTCTCTGAAGGGAACCAAACAACGCTCCTCTGAAGGGAACCAAACAACGCTCCTCTGAAGGGAACCAAACAACGCTCCTCTGAAGGGAACCAAACAACGCTCCTCTGAAGGGAACCAAACAACGCTCCTCTGAAGTGAACCAAACAACGCTCCTCTGAAGGGAAACCAAACAACGCTCCTCTGAAGGGAACCAAACAACGCTCCTCTGAAGGGAACCAACAACGCTCCTCTGAAGGAACAAAACACTCTCCTCTGAAGTGAACCAAACCAAACCACGCTCCTCTGAAGGGAACCAAACAACGCTCCTCTAAAGGGAACCAAACAACGCGACCTCTGAAGGGAACCAAACAACCGGACTCTGAAGGGAACCAAACAACGCCGACTCTGAAGGGAACCAACAACGCGACTTGAAGGGAACCAAACAACGCTCCTCTGAAGGGAACCAAACAACGCTCCTCTGAAGGGAACCAAACAACGCTCCTCTGAAGGGAACCAAACAACGCTCCTCTGAAGGGAACCAAACAACGCTCCTCTGAAGGGAACCAAACAACGCTCCTCTGAAGTGAACCAACAACAACGCTCCTCTGAAGGGAACCAAACAACGCTCCTCTGAAGGGAACCAAACAACGCTCCTCTGAAGGGAACCAAACAACGCTCCTCTGAAGGGAACCACAACAACGCTCCTCTGAAGGGAACCAAACAACGCTCCTCTGAAGGGAACCAAACAACGCTCCTCTGAAGGGAACCAAACAACGCTCCTCTGAAGGGAACCAAACAACGCTCCTCTGAAGGGAACCAAACAACGCTCCTCTGAAGGGAACCAAACAACGCTCCTCTGAAGGGAACCAAACAAACCGTCCCTCTGAAGGAACCCAAACAACGCTCCTCTGAAGGGAACCAAACAACGCTCCTCTGAAGGGAACCAAACAACGCTCCTCTGAAGGGAACCAAACAACGCTCCTCTGAAGTGAACCAAACAACGCTCTCTCTGAAGGGAACCAAACA